ATATGATGAGTCTGTACTTGTAATTTATCACTCCATTCATATTTTTTGGATTTGCATATACAGGGTGACTCAAAAAAATTAATGAATGCGTAAATATATTTTATTGATTTAATCAGGAACTACAAAACCTAATGCTCTGAAATCTTGCAGATGTTTTAAGGTCATAAAGAGCATAATAAATGTTTAGTCAAAATATATTTGCTTATCCCCTCCAAAAACTTGATGACGTCAGCTCGAAAGTTTGTGGAATAAATCATATCTAAAATGTACAAAATATGATGAGTCTGTACTTGTGATCTATCACTCCATTCATATTTTTTGGATTTGCATATACAGGGTGACTCAAAAAAATTAATGAATGCGTAAATTTATTTTACTGATTTACTCAGAAACTACAAAACCGAATGCTCTGACATCTTGCAGATGTTTTAAGGTTATAAAGAGCATAATAAATGTTTAGTCAAAATATATTTGCTTATCCCCTCCAAAAACTTGATGACGTCAGCTCGAAAATTTGCCGAATAAATCATATCTAAAATGTACAAAATATGATCAGTCTGTACTTGTGATCTATCACTCTATTAATATTTTTTGGATTTGCATATACAGGGTGATTCAAGAAAATAAATGAAAGCGTAAATTTATTTTACTGATTTACTCAGGAACTACAAAACCGAATGCTTCGAAATCTTGAAGATATTTTAAAATTATCATAAGCATGGTAAATTTTTGATCAAAATGTATTTGGTCGTCCCCCCTAAAAAATTTATGACGTCACCACAAAATTTTGCTGAATAAATCCTATCTAAAATGTACAAAATATGGTGAGTCTCTTCTTGTGATTTATCATTCCATTCAAGTTTTTTCGATTTGCATATACAGGGTGACTCAAAAAAATTAATGAATGCGTAAATTTATTTTATTGATTTAATCAGGAACTACAAAACCCAATGCTTTGAAATCTTGCAGATGTTTTAAGGTTACAAAGAGCATAATAAATTTTTAGTCAAAATATATTTGGTTATCTTCTACAAAAAACTGATGACGTCAGCTCAAAAGTTTGCCGAATAAATCGTATCTAAATTGTACAAAATATGATGAGTCTGTACTTGTGATTTATCATTCCATTCATATTTTTGGATTTGCATATGCAGGGTGACTCAAAAAAATTAATGAAGGCGTGAATTTATTTTATCGATTTAATCAGGAATTACAAAACCGAATGCTTTGAAATCTTGGGAATATTTTAAAGTTATTATAAGCATGGTAAACTTTTGTTCAAAATGTATTTGTTCATCCCTCCTAAAAAAATTGATGACGTCACCCTTAAATTTTGCTGAATAAATCCTATCTAAAATGCAAAAAATATGATGAGTTTGTACTTGTGATATATCATTCCATTCATATTTTTTAGATTTTCTTAAGAGGTGGTTCAAAAAAAGGCGCCGTATACCTGAGTAAATTGTTTCGTTATTTTATTGATTATAAGAAATCAATATTCAAAACGACCCAATTCATTTTCCCGAAAATTTGGGAATACAATAATTTTATTCTTAGTATTACACTACATCTATCCCAACTGATATACGTGTCCTTGCAAAAATGTTGATGACGTCATCACAATTTTGTTTTAAATTCCCACTACAAAAATGTAATGAGAAAAAAAAACACAATAGGCATGCAGTCGTCAAGTTTCCGATAGTGAGGGAAGTACTGTCTAAACTCTTTAGACCAATTTTTTTAGTTGATGGGTTTAACATAATAGCAGAATATAATAGTTTTTGATGATGTACTGTATTCATTCAACATAAAATTGTTGGTATGAAATATAACAATTGGAAACAGAGGACGTACGTTACTAATTAAAGAATCTCCCAACTTGAAAATTCAATTTACAAAAAATTTCTCTTATTGAATTTTCTTTTTTAGTACCTGTACTTTTCAATAATTGCGAATTTGAAATTTAGCATCATATTCGTAACATGTAAGAAACCACCTACGAAAAATTACTAAAAAATGTCACATTCTAAGTGACTAGGGGTATTTCCACGACTATACATAACCTTCGACCGATTTTTAACTTTGTTTTTTATTAGTTTGAAATACCTAGGATTTATTTTTTAAAGAATTTAGGAGTAAGGGGGGCTTTGATGTTATTTGAAAAAGATTAAAGGAACTTTTACACACACAGATTCTTTTAGCAACTGCTAAGAATCGCTTTGAAATTGAGCACGTGTTCTGAGGTTATCATCAGCTTGATAAATCAACAAAAATTAATTATCTAACCATTCACACCAAAACTTTTGAGACGTTATCTAAAAAAAATGTGCTAAATGAATCATATTTAAAATGTTAACTTCACCTGCGAGAGAAGTTCCGTGTGAATAACTTTAGACTAATTTTTTAAATTTGCATTGATAATAATAAAATCGAAAATATGGTAGCACAAGATTGGTATTCTATAGGATATAATTGACATTGTGGCGATAATTATGAAAGGACTAATTTTAATAACATAATCAGAATACTTATTAATTCGTGTATTGTGTTTATTGTGTATAAGAATTGTAATAATAAAAGAAAAAAGATCTATAACGTGTAAATTACAAATCTGGAATAAAGTAATTTCGAAAAGTCAAGTATTAAGTTAGAAAAGAACGTGCCTCCTATGGTATAGCTTGAGAAATTCAATTAAAATCGAAGAAAGGTTGGCCAAAATGATCGATAGATACACATTTAACTCTTGACGTTTGATAATCAATCAAGCACCAGTATATCTGTTACGATTTTTTTTATTTTAAATATCAAAACAGTGTTATAAAAATGATCATTTTTTTAACCTCAAAATGGAATTTTTAAACGATTTAATTTTGTTTTTGCTCTCTAGAAATGCACTTTTTCGTACTAAGAAGTATTTTACGCCATTATTTTAGAAAAATTACTCCCTTCTCAATATTTTATAGGCAGGTGTAATTTTTTTTTTCTTCTCTAATTGTAATATCCACATTAATCAATTTATCTAAATAAGTTAATAATATGTTGTTAACCACTGTTAGGAATTAACTATGTTCTGTTTTGATTTTTCTTTTCCATTTATTGTTATTTTTTTTTTGTAAATTGGAAGTTTCCGTTAATAAATTAAACATTAAACATTAAACATTGTGTTTCCGGTCGTGATGATCACAATTCATGATGTCAGTTTAGAATTAAGGGATGTTCAGGTTGCAATAAAAACAACCAGGATCAGAGGAACTTGGGTTAATGGTGATGTCGGCGGTGGTATCGTATAAATTTGTAGAGGGTAGTAATTAAAAGAAAAGTATAGATTATGAAGAGCGCAATTAGTAATCTTAATTTGGCAAATCAACCACTCATCCGGTATTTATAGCACTAGAGACCCATAAATAATGTCGGCCAGTTTCACTTTCCCCCTATTTTCCGCCGCACACAACCTTGAAAATCCCCGGCCGGTAAAAACCCTATCAAGCCTTAACGACCACAGCCCGAGATGCCTTCAAAGAGACGTCATTAGTTGTTAAAGACCTATTTCCGAAACAAGTTTCCGGTGCGGCGCGTTAAAAAAAGCAGCGCGGTCGCGGTGCGGCTGTCACAAACGTCAAGACGTCTTCTTGGTGTCTTCGCGTGAAAAGAGGGACGACGCGTCAACGACACCCGTCGCTTTTTCTACGAGGTCGCGCTGTTTTTTTCAGGCAATGCGTTCGCATCGCCGAAGTGTTTATTAAACAAATAGCCCCGATCATGGTTATGTATCTGGGAATCTAATTATAACCGAGATGCGAAGAGCGAGGGACGCTAATATGGTGCGCGTTTGAGAAATCTACCGCCCATCCCTTTTACATATGTTATTTTCTAGCCTAAACAAACGGCGACACGCTCGTACCTCCATTACAGACATCTGGGAAACGTGTTGGTTTTTGGTGCAGGACTGCGCCGTTTACATCACTTCCACATCAAAGACCACACGCGGATGCTGCCGGTAATTAAAAGGGGAAATGTCGCGATGGGCTGACCCCAGCAAAAGCGCCGGCGGTGAAGGAGGCCGCCGGGGCGCTACCTTCAGAGGAAATACGCGCGTTGTGAGGCTTGGGTGGGTTTTACTATTGGAAAAAAAAAGTAATAACAACTTTAGTCCTCGACTCTTCGTAAGAATTGTTCGGCATGATCAACACAGTGAAAAGTGGCTCGTCGCAATCGGGAACACAAAGTAGATGAGAACTTGGTCACTGTAGACAGACAATCCGTGGTTAATTTTTCTTGGTCTGGTGGACCAGTCGTTCGTTGAAATTGTCGGAGGGCCCTCAGAAGCTCTAAAATCGCGCCTCCCGTGCGTGGTCCCTCCCCCATCCCGCTCAATTACCGTTTTAATTCCGGCCCCTTGGAGCGAGAGTTCTCCTTAGCAAATTGCTTCGCGCCGATGGAATTGCTTTATCTAGCAAAAGACGACTCCTCTCTTGTTTAAGGCTCGTCTTCGTCGGGAGTTCCGTATCAGATGATGTCTAACGACCTCTAGCTTATTTTGTCCCCGAAAACGCACGACTGACAAAAGAGCGATAAATATGAATAATTATCCCTTGACGTGAGCCTTAGCGGCAACATGCAATCCCAAGCATCGTTTAATGTGTTTCGTGTCAATCATCTTAATGATATTTCGGAGAACCCTTTTCATTTCGCAGTTCGTCTGACAGAAGACGCGAATGACGCGCCGGCTGTTCCATCGTTCATATTTCAAAGTTGCCTGCCTGTCTCGCGCTTTCGTTCCCCGCCGCCTCCGGCCTTTCCTATTAAAAAACGCTCGCCAGAGGGCGCGCTTTGTTTTGCCAACAATTTCTGGCAGCTTCGGGGGCGCAATTTTCCGGCCGGCTCGAGGGAGCGCAATCTCGACAGAAATTGGGGCGCTCCCCAATACAGCGCAACCGACCAAAAAAAAACCTATTGCTCGAAACACGGACCAAAAGTAACAGTTTTCTCTCTCGTTGCAGCCCAGTACCGCTCCCCGCGGATAACCGAGCACCCCTCGGACATCATCGTGGCGAAGAACGAGCCGGTCACCCTCAACTGCAAGGCCGAGGGCCGGCCCGAGCCCTCGATCGAGTGGTTCAAAGACGGAGAGCCCGTCCGGACTTCCCCGACCGACAACAAGTCCCACAGGGTGCTGCTTCCAGCCGGCTCGCTCTTCTTCCTGCGGACCATGAACAGCAAGAAGGAGCAGGACGCGGGCGTGTACTGGTGCGTGGCCCGAAACATCGCAGGATCGGCCGTCAGCAGGAACGCCACATTGCAAGTAGCCGGTGAGTGTCTTTCAACTCTGCTATTCTCGGATTTCCGGGTTTATGAAAGGTCGCTGGGATGGGGCAGAGGGCGCTACCGGACGTCCGAACGGAAGCCCGTTCATTTCCCAGCTGTGATTGTGAGTCGAAAAAAGGTGCAGTTTTCGACGCGTTCCGAAAACCGGACCGGGATTCGCCGGATAAAGGACTATTGTGTGGGAGTAGTTTTCTGGATTAGGCGGCGTTTTGTAACTTGACTTGAATTCCAAACAGCCCGGAGCTAAGAATGCAATTTTCCGTCTAAATGTAACGTAGATGTTTATCCCGAAAAAGGAAAATAAAAACGTCAAATGACACGAAGATGTCTGCGAAGACGCTATTAAAATCCTGAAATAACACATGACGACTCGTTAAAAAAAAACGAGCTCGCTTACGACAAAATACATACATATACGGAAAGTTGGAAGTTTATAAATCAAAGTCGAACTGAAAAAACTTCCGGAAACTATAGTTTCGGGTCGTGCGCTTCCACAAACGCCAAGACCCTTTTTTCGGCGAACTCCTTGCCGCAGGTCCAGGACCGTCCTCGGATGTCCGGCTTTATGAGGTCACTATGGTCGCACGTCGGGCGCTGCCGGACGTCCGTACGGAAACCGGTTTATTTCCGAAGCGTGATTTTCCGTCGAAAAAAGGCCCAGTTTTCGAGTGAACTCATAAATTTTCCAAATTAACACGTAGCATGTTGCATATTAATGAGACGGGTTTGTTTAAATTTAATTCGAGCCGGTGACAGGGCAATGTATGAAATTTATTTATTTTTCAACGGTACAAAGCCTGAAATATTAACGTTTCAGGAAGTTGTAATCGTGTAGAAACAACATCGGACGTCGAATCAATTCCAGGCTTGCCTGTCCATTGCATTAATTATAACGAGTTTTTTTTTATCGGACGAGCGATAAATTTTTTCGAGTTGTGTTGTGTGGCGACATCGTCGTTAAAAGTGTAAAATTAGGATTTTATGCACCACAGATTAGACAGGAGTTAAATTAGGACCGTTTTACGAGCTAAATATTTTCAGGTAGAATCGGGAAGTGCGGGTTTTTTCATTACCGCGAAAAATCGAGTTGGTTATTTTTGTGGAATGAAAGATTCCCTGGACTCGTATTTCATACACGCTATGGGATCGGAAGCATTGTGTTGTTTGCCCGAATGGGTCAAATGTAAATTCGAATTAAATTAAAGACCTGTAATGGCTTTGGTAAATTGGATATTATAATTATTGTTATTGCTCCAGGGAGAGGCATTACGGAGCGTTTTTATGGGAGTTGGCACGAATTTTGTTTGTTTGTTTGGATTAATTTAACAGATTTTTGGGCCAAACGGCTTCATCGTGTTGTGTTAAGCCGGTCGGTATGCAAATGTTGCGTAATAAGCTCATTTCCTACTGTTGTTATTGCATTTGCGTGAAAATTGTAACGCTTACCACAACAGTAGAACGATCTAACCTATATGTATATGCAGCGGCGTCGTTTACAATTAAATCGTTGCGTGTTAATTGTCATAGACGAAACTCAAAAAACCACCCATTCATCAATTTTTCCCACACAGCTCGCGTATAAATCGGCGACTTTATTCTCCTTCTTACGGATTTATTTTATGCAAATTAGAGGAACAACGGTGCGGAGACCATTTACATATCACCATGCGCGATCGGACCCAGATATTTTTATTAGCTTTCGGCGAACTTTCTTCGTTAATCTTGCTTAAAAATGGAAATGTGAAGTCAGATATGCAAAAACACGGCTCGGACTGCCGGACGAGATCATAATGGCGATACACTACGCTTCGAAAATTCGCTAAATTGTAGCTGGAGGCCCTCGTATTTTCGAAGAATCCGGTCGCCGTAAAATTGCCCAGGAATTTTTAAAGTTTGGATGTGGCTTTATCGAGCCGGCGATTTTATTCGACGTCGTAAAACTAATCGCGTGGGAGATGCGTTCCGACGGGTGCCACTGGAATAGGAATTGCAGGGCCGGACCAGTTCCGGTCCGATTAGCATGCCGGGTGTCCCCGGCGACGATTTATCGAATTATTGACATAATTAATGATTCCCAGCATGCCGCATTCGCATTATTCAGCGGCGAGAGCCATACATAAGAGCCACAAAGAGAAAACGGGACAGGTAATTTCTTGTTGAAAGTCGAGATGAGTTATACGAGCGTGTGGATATTTATGTTTGCCGCATACCTCGAGAAATCAAAACTCTTCGGCTAGTTTGCAAGCGAGGGAATACTTGTTTGTTCTCCCTAAATAAAAAAAAACGATTTGCGATCAATAGCTGGTACTCTCAAGGTCCAGCACCCGTTATTTACAACTGTGGATTTTTCGGCTCATACAATTTCCACAAGAATCCATCGCGTCCAACACTTCCCTTCGAGTCTTCGTGGTGCACCACAATAAATGATTTGCGTCGCGGAGGCATCGACCGTCCGGCTGATGGAAGCAATCGATGTAATACCCTTACGATCCATCAATGTCTCGATTGGTCAAACAAGCGGGCCCCGACCGAATGATCGCTAGCCGTCGTGATGCTTTTATGATAGCGACAATATGGTACCGTCTAATCGAAAAGTCAGATTATCATCGGCGAAGAGAAAAATGATCGGCTTGATCCAATAAAAATGGAACACACTCGAGATGTTTCGCCACTCAACGAAATTGAAAGTTTCCCCCGGCGCCAGCGAGGTGGTTTTATGTTCATGGCTTTGTTGCACGCGCCATTATTCAAATTTAACTCGTAAATAAAAGAATATTGCGGCAGGAATGAATTGATGTCGGGTCAAAAACATCGCTCGCTGGCGCGATCTCCGGATGAGATATTCGCGTTTATAAACAGGGCGGCTTCCGACGACGCCGGATGCTGGAGGGAATCGTCGAATTCGCGCTCTTTTGGGGGTGGGGGTTACGGGCGAGGGGAACGAAATATCTAGAAACCTATGAAGGTGGAAGTGGTGTTATCGACAACTAATAGCCCTAACTGAGATTTAGCGTGCGTCTACTGCAAAATGAGCGCTCGCCCTGTCGTGTTGAAAACCACCAAAATTTGTATACATCATAATCAAATTTATACACTCTTTTTGAAAATGCTTTTGACGAAGATCGTCTAACCCCATTTGGTTTATCCTGATACCTTTACATTTAGTTTCCTGCAATAATACAATGGAGGAAATGAACATTGTGCTCCCAGATCAATTGTGCCACATCTTACCGCTTGGTACCAAGCGAAACCCCCTTTTGGGATTTAATTCTAGAGGCAAATCCGTTTAACTGCCTCTCAACGAACGGTTTCTTGAAATTCGCTTAGGAAAAGAGATTCGATTTATTACTGTTTGGGATACATCCAGCGAAGACAATTATACTAACACGTACTGCATAAAAAAATAACCACTCTGCTTATCTACAAGTCCCCAAACTGGGAGAGAAATAAACAATTACGCATATTTTAAACAAATCAGTTTCGTAAACTGATAATGTTCCTCTTACCGCACGCCCATGTCTCTTAGGTTCTTGAGCCGCATCCGTCCACGAATCCCGTGTATTGTGGGTTGCCGGAAATTAGCGAACCCATGCAACAGCCGCTTCATTTCGAGAACAGTCCGGCATACATTATTTCGAACACGTTCCTTTTCAATCTGTTCTCCCGTATTCCAATTTAATCCGGTTATTCCGAACGTCATCTTTTATGTCGGACCGCTGTGAACAGGGGCGGCTTTAACGGTCGCAATTTAGACGTTAATTAGTGACCCTCTGTTTGTACAGTTCGCCCCGTCATCAAACACCCGGTATAATACCGAACGTGCCGTTTGCGAAATGACGAATTTTTATGACCCTCGACCTGCTAAATTATCCAGATCCGTTACGTCTATTTTTGCTCGGAATTAATTTGTAGTTGGTGAAATTACGATACGTTGTGTTGAAACGGGACACTTAACACTGCTTAAAGCCCCTATAAACTCGTTTAAATTTAAAATCGGACTTAAGTCAAACTATCGGGTTTTATGGAGGTCGTTAAGTTTCGGTGGCGGCGCGAGGGATTTATGGAGGCGAAGTAGATGATGGCGAGGATTTTTATGTTGTTTTTTTTCAAGTTGGTACTCGGTGGAAGTACTGTGTTTAATCTCGAGTTTGTTAGTGGATGAAATAAATCTTGGATTTTTAGAGTTGAGTAAGTGAATGGCAGTCTCGAGGTCTCATCTGTTATTATCTTGTTAATTATATCTTGTAATTTATTGATGACCTCTACCTTCTCGTTTTTCATTAAAGTCTGCCTTATCACTAAATTGTAATAAATTGTAGCAACAGGCGTTAAGATTATGAGACGCTTAGCTCATTAGCTAACCCTCGTTTTTGTTTTTAAATTTATTGCGAAGACTTTGTGGAGTCTACTTGTTGCAGACGAGGTCTTAGCGTAAAGCCTGTGCATAAATATAATAAGAACACTTCGAGTTGAGAACACGAGGCACCGAGTTAGGCGTTCTTTAGCTGCGACTAGTTTGAGATTTCTCAAATTTTAATTTGAAACTTCCCCGGCGCTTCAGGAGTGGATCCAACAGCCGTAATTATACTCCAATAGTGTATCTAATACACTCCCACTGAAAAAGTTTGGGCCCAATTTATCTCCCGCCAGCCCACACCAAATGCAAATCTTCTCCCCTAATTACCATAGACCAAATCCGCGGCGGTGGAATTGTTTCCAAAACCATGTAAAATCATTAATCAACATAACGTAATCCCGAATTAAAATATTTCACTAGATAACGATCGTCGGTATCAATTTGTCTGTTTACGTAACGTGCTTATATTATTAATCATAAGGCCTCATGAATATGGAATGACTAATAGACAATTAGGCGCCTCGAATGCGTACGGGAGACGGCTGAAAAGCGCACACATGTGACACGTGTGTCGTCACAAATGGGCGGGTCGAACAAAGAGCCCTATGAATTTCACAAAACTCGAGC